TACTAAAAGCTAAAAATCCTGTTTCACCTGGAAGCCATGTGGATGACTACCATGCTGGTTTTCAATGAAGAGGAAGTCCTTTAACAAAAGGGGAGTGGAAGTGAATGATGAATGCACCCTTCAGCACAGCAGCTGAATCAAAAAGCAATTCCTGAAATCCTTGTGAGGTAGAATATTTTGGCAGGAAAAATGTTGCCTATGTGGCTTCAGCTGGGAACTGAGTCTTTCTACATGTTACTCTCAGCTTAAAAAAGATATCCACTGTTTATCAGACACTCTACAGATAATGTAGAAAGCTTCTGAGTGGAATGACTATTGTATTTATCTATTCTCTCCCCCTGAATTCAGAAGATTGCTCTAGCTTTTATGAACAAACAAAAAAAATGTAGCCTCTTTCTCATCTGCTTGGACTGCTGCAATTAATGAGCTAAGACAAGCATTGCCACAACTGCAATTCATTATTATCGTTTCAGTCTGTGTTCAAATTATATTTAAAATAGTTGACAAAGTATTGTTGGGAGAGTAAAAAAAGATTGCTCAACACACCCCTGTTCTACAAATTTCCTTCTGTATAGAAACATCATTTTCCATATAGGCATGTAAATAATTTTACTTTCTTTCATACTAGACTGCAGCTGGTACTAGATTATTATTATTATTGTATTAGATACATAAGCAAACAAGATCAATAGTGAATAATAATTTTTTTTCTGAAATAACCTCTCACTTTCGCCTGAAACAAAACAAAATGGAAACAAAAGAGCCCAATCTGTAACAAAATATTTTTATTTTTATATGACTGTAAAATTAGTCAACACTTTGTTTATTTGGTTAGGTCCACTGCTCTAGAAGACAGCACAGGCATCAGATTTTGTATGTAACTCTCACAAGAATTCAAAGGAAGTCTTTTTTGACTTACTATAGACCTAACTACAGTGGGTCTGGCAAAACTTACTTTAAAGTGTAAATTAATTCCATCCCAAGGGTCTAAGTTTTGCAGCCCTTTCTCATGTTAGAAAGCCAACCATGAGTAATTCAGCAAAAACTGGGGTTTTTTTGGTTTTATTTTCCAAAACAATAACATACTAACCATCTAAATTTCTACTTAGGCTTCTAAACAACTAACATTTTTAAGTCTTACAACTATCACAAATTTTATAAATCCAGCCTTTAGACTGTTAGTCTATTTGAGTAAAATAAAATCAGTGAAAAGTATTGCATATTTATTGAATAGTGTGCAGCTTCATACATTCCATCAGAAATCCCAAAAGTATGTCAGGAAAGTCTTTCAGTGATTTCTGGCTTGTGCTGCAGATCAGCAATCCTTGGGCTGTCTGAACAACATGGTTCTTTAAGAAAGCTGGTTTAAATTCTCTCCAGGAAGAGCTGATCCTTATTTGGATATCAATGTAAAAGACTCAGAGCTATGCATTCTCTCTAAAACTGTGTAGGAATGTCTCAGTGGTGAAGACAGGAATGCAGTTAATGAAGTAAGAGAAAAACACACTGCCAGAAGGACCCTTTGGTGCTCTGTCCTGTTTTTTCCTGTTGCCTCACCCTGTCAATCATGTCTGAGAAGAAGACAGCACAAGCTGTTTCTTGCACACATGTACAAGCCTCATAACTGATGGTTTTGAGGCAACTCTTATAGAAAGTCACAGTGGAAGAGGACACTTCATTACTGAAGTCTCTTGTGTTACTTTATAGTAAGAGAAGGAAGTTCCATGTTAACCTGACACAGATGAGTAATCGTCTTGATACCATTTCCCAGATGAATAATCTTCTCAGAAAAAAATGCTAAACATCATCAGTTGTGGTTCGGACAGCCCAGTCGGGATGAGTCAGGCTGTAGGAGCACCTCAAGCTTCAGAGAAGCCGGAAATCTGCCGCTGATTAAAGGTAGAAGCCTCCTCCAAAACACACTAGAAAAAAAGCTACTAGCTTGTTTGCAAAAGCCTGTCCATCATTAAGGTCAGACAGCCCTTGCAGTGCTTTTTACCCACATGGTTATATCAGCACCTGAAAAAGACTTGTGTCTCGTTGATACAGTCACGCCAAACATCCTCCTTGTATGAACACAGGTTATGTTGACAGAGAAGGGTGGCTGGCAAGCTGTATCATTTGGAGATGAGGTCTAGTTACGCTGACAGTAAACCCATTTTGTTGACATGTTAGGTTTGACCTAAGGCACTCTGCTACCACCACACCAATCCCACAGAAGTGCTGTAGTATAGACTGCAATGTAATGTCATCCTGTGTACAATACAGTTCCTCTGCTTTAATACGAGTTCAGAAACAAGTATGGACTCATCTCCTCAAAATGGTTAGCTCATTTTCCTAGGATTTAATACTGATCCATTTCTGTAAGGAAACTCCTTATTATATTGCCTATATTTACCATGAAGGTGATGTGCATAATTCTTATGCAAATTATGTATTTAAGAAAAATGTGACAAAATTTTCTTATGACGCTTTTTCATAGTCACTGGTTTTAGTCTAGTATAGCATAGCCTTACAAATTATTTTCCTCTTTAGTCAGGAAAAAATCACTGTCAGCAAGCAAGTTGCTTAATGTTGTTTACAACATCTCTTCCTAAGGTCAAAATTAACATATGTAATAATCATTTTAAGGAGTGACACTGTGATGCACCAAGCATGAAAGAGGTCAGGAGTAAGTCCACTAATCCTTATCCTTTTGTATCTCCAAATACTCAAGTAGAATCTAGGTTTCAACTGGCTCAGCCTCCATGAATTTCTGGGCTAGTATATACAAAGAAATATATATATCAAATGGGCTCTTTCATCAGGTGAACGAGTGCAGAAACACTTTGGAGGACCTTGTAGGAGTTGGTTTCCTACTGCACCGAGTGTTCAGGTAGCCCACAGAAATCAGTGCCTGAACTTAAGCACTGAAGTTTGGTGCTTAGTTAGCTGGTATGAATACTCCCACCTCCAATAGTTCGTTTGTTTTCCCACAAAAGTTTGCTGAAATTCCCATAGATTTTGCTTAGAGATGTACTGGGTAATGTGATTTGCTGAAAAACTTGTTTATTCTTTACAGGTTTCTAGTTTTCATGTGTAACTTTTTCCTGTGTCCTTTGAATATTCTCATAAGACCACACATCTCCACTACTATATAACAAAGAGGCCTGTTTAATATAACTGTATTTTTGTAAGTTGTTTAGCAGAAGTATGTTAGCCTGTTTACAGTGTTTGCCTACTGTAAGCATGTTTTAAATACCTGACTTTATCTTAGAAGTCCTTTAAACTTTTCTATGCATCTGCAGACAGAACACTGTCTTTTAGATTTAATTGCTGTTTCCTGAAGCAACCAACACGTATCACTGTATCAACTGTTATGGTTGTTGCTGTTGAGGTTGTGCTGATCAACTAAACAAACTTTTCAGCTGCCAAATTTGACAGTGACACATCCGTAACACCCTCTTTATGACATACAAGCACTACAAATGCACCAGAGAGCCAATATGCTATGTGCTCAACCTTTTTCCAAAGCTGGGGAAGAATCATACATAATTTTTCCTCCACAGCTGTATTCAAAGGAGGCATGCCTCTTAAAATGGCATTTTACAAAGCAGCACCACCAGCTAAGACAGGTGTTAGAAAGGGACTGGATCGCATGCAGCTAGTCAGCTAGGCACAAAAAGCAGGGCAACTAGCAGGAAACAGCCTTTCTTCATGGCATTTCAAGACCTTGTGGCAAATCTGAGCTAGTATTCACAATAGAGCTAACCCTGTTTTTGTGGTTTCCCTTACACTGGATACATTGGTAGCTAAGGAGCTGCAGTTTAAAAAGATCAGGGAGGGTCTTAGGCAAGTCAGGCTCCAGCCCTGCTACATACAAAAGCAAAAAACATGGAATCTCCCTCTGAAAGGGACAAAGAGAGTTAGAAGTAACTAATTTTCCTCTTCCTTGAGCACAGAGTCATCCTAGACTGTAAACTGCAGGATGAAATGCCTAGTGATAACTCTATTATGGCAACAAATTATATGTTTTATCTAAATAAACAAGAGACATTGTAAAAAGACATTGTCCTTCCCTTCCCCACCCTTTTCAGTCCACTTCTATTGCACACGTTTACATGTACGTTTCAGCCACTGAAGTGTTTATGGATGCACTCAAGCTAGAGCCTGTCCTACTGATTTAAAGCCCACAGAGTCATGCAGAACCCAATTTATTTCAGGGAAAAAAAAAAAGGGGGAGGGTGAGTACTTCCTATTAATACTTCTGAAACATTGTCACATCTGTTTAAAGAGCTAACATGGCCCAGGGACAAACAGATATACATGCTAATACATTTTTGCATGTTTGGTTTGGGGTTTTTTTGCCTTTTAAATTGACACTGGAAAGCAAAAGGTGGTTTGTACATACAGTGCCTTATCGCTAAGGTGTAAGCTGGGTGTGCCTTAGGAAACTCAAGATGCAGTGACCCTAAGTGTAGACAAGTACACTTAGACAAGTGTCCACATTTCTTATAATTAGTCATTAGTCAGAAATGAAGGTAAGGTACACATGCAGAATCTATTTCCTTGTTGCTTAATTATTATTTTTTTTTTCTGAGCTCTCTTTAACACTTTCTGACTGATTTCTGCAAGGAAAGCTCCCTATGATGCAAGAGAAACCTTAGGATATATCCTGAAGTTGGACAGAATAGTATCACTTGATGTATATTCAACTAAAGTCAAAGAAAAGCTGTGCTAATTAGCTATGAATTTCTCATGGACTGGTCAACATTACAGTAAAATGAAAATTACGCTTCATTAATCCCTCCCATTAATCCCTCATCCTTGAAAATTAGGTTAAAAACACTGATGCATCTGGTATCAACAGACCCACCTCAGTAGGCAAAAACCTTTGTGTTTGAACTGTTAGCAGTCAGATTTTTTTTTTGAGAGAGGGGAAAAAAAAAGCCTGTAGTAAAACACAACTAGATTATTATTGACACTTCCCTCCCTCCCCCAATAACATTTTTCATGTTTACCTTTCTTGCATCTCTTATCATCTTCCGAATAGTTTCCTTTATGGTGTAAGGCTGCGCTCGTGGTGGATGGAAAAGCAGATCAATATTTGTGCCACCAGAAATTCCAGGCATTAGGTAGGGCCAACCTAAGTCAAGATTTGGAGCTTCCACATCTGATTCAATGGGCCAGTAGGTTCCCGAGGAAGAGGTGTCATCAATAGCGTGGTTAGAGGAATAAACTGTGTTTTGGGGAAGTTTGTGAACATTATTCAAAATATAATCAATTTCCTCATCTGCTAGGAACTCTGAGCATCTCTCTTTGGAAAGAAATTCTTTGTAGGCTTCCAAACCTCCTTCAATCAGAGCATCAATAGCTACTCGGTACCATTCCTTGTAATGAGGTTCAATATAGTTGTCTGATCTGCATTCATCATGTAAGGACGATAGCAAAGATGAAGTTTCCATTTTCACATATATTTTGTATGAAGTCTTTTAAACATCCGTTCATGAGCTGATGAAATTTATCTGTAAAGAGAAAAAAGAAAACAATCTGAATATTTGTAGAGATGTATGATGCACACAGATACTATTCAAAATGCTTTTCTGGTAATGTTGCTCCAAGTATTTCTAGCACCTTCCAAGAAATTTAAAACGTTTTGAAAAGGCTCAGGGATTAATATTGCCAAATGAATATTAAAGATCTAGATAAAGAGATGTTTCTGCATAAGGCAAAACAAAACATAATTAAAAGTGATTTGATGTTCTTACGTTAAAAGCTACAGCAGAGCAAGTAACACACTGAAGATCTGTACCACTAACACAAATACATACCTAATGCATGGTCCAATATGCTACCATAGGTTATGCTTCAAAACTCTTTATAACAACTGACAGAGTGGTGTTCAAATAAACACTTCAGAAACCAATTACATTTCCTACTTTTTGATGCATTACTTTTTCTCTGCAATGCATTCCTGTTTTCTGTCATCTTTGAAACCATAGTCATTCAGGTCCTTCACCTTATTATCTGTTCTCCCATGCTGATCTAATCCATTTGCTCCTCCCAAGCAGAACCAGCCTACCTCATTTCAGTGAGTTATGAGGAACTCCAGAAAGATTTATCCTCCCACATCTGGGATCAACCTCTGAATCAGCAATCTCATGTCTAGTTTCCACCCTGCTTATTCCTTCTGCCAAAAGGAGCGGCTGCTTTAATATTACCTTATTTCTTTTTTTTTCCAAAACATTAATAATAAGTAAATTGTCTACTGACAAACTTATAAATCCATTCTTACTATTTTTTAAATTTCATTTAACAAGGACTGATAGGGTTGGTTCATGCTGCAACAATTTGGGATTTAAGATACAGAGAGGACAAATGGCCAGCTTCTCTTCCTTCATGTTTGTGCAACCTCATGGGACTTCTCTAACACCTAAACTACAAGGAATTTCTGCACTGGACAGGTAAGCCACAAAAGAACCCCACAAAGGCGTGGGGGAGGAGGGGAGGCTTCATGAGCGTGGCACGTGCCTGGCCATGTACAATAGAAAGATGATACATGGTAGTAGTGTTTAATCTTTCAGGACTAGAGCATGAAGCTTAGGAGAATGCAGAAGTAGGAAGAAGTCCAACAAAGACAGAATAATTACAAAAAGCATACATGACTTATGGCTTGCAAGTTAACACTGGGTTTCCCTACAAGCCTAGTTACTGGAATAGCAGTGTAATGGCAAGCAATAATCATTCAGAGCTCTGATTTAGTTTACTGGCATGCAAACGCAACACAATTCTCTCTTCACATCAAGAACTTTCAGAAATTTTCTGAACAGTGCATTTACTTTCCACTGTCTGCTGGGAAGAGTTTAAATCTTCTTGAAAGGAAACACAAATTAGCCACATTAACCTAAAGGAATGAAAAGCAAAATCTCCATACGCTACTGATAATCCAAAATTCAATTATGTGTTCAATTAAACCAAGATTTCTGAGGAACTTGGGAACTCTGATGTTAAAAAAAGACCAAGAAAGAAAAATCCAGATCTGAGGCTGGCATCAGCATGTCATATGAAATAATTCCATTTGAATCCTGTCTCTCAGCCAAGTAGCAGGGTAGATCTTCCCAGATAGGACTGCTTTCGAGCCTGAGGGAAAGGAGTGTTTCTGGCTGCTTCCAGAGTAGCTCTTTGTGGCAGACTGGAAAGCACAGAGCAAAAAGGGATCCAACTGCTCTCCCCTGGTCGAGAATTACATGTATTCCTGTGACAGATATTCAGGACTTCATTCTACACTGCTCTCACAGGTGGAAATAGAACATTATAAAATAAGGGTGATACCATTTTACTTTGGCCAAATGCAGATACAGCCTGTGATGTAATACGACAGAGAACTGAGCACACAGTACAGACAAGACAGACAGATGCAAAGGTCAAAGTCTTATAATGTTGTAAAATTAAAGCATTCATCAGTGTCCCATGGAAGCCAATCATCTGGAAAAGGTTTTCAAGACATTTCAGATGAAGAATGAAAACCATCAAGACTAAAAATGCAGTTACTCAGCAGAGCTGTTCCTAAGAATCTGAACACTAACACAGGTGACTTTACTGAGAACCTAATAGACCCCTCTTGTAGGGCTCTCCAGGACAAGTCAGTCTCAAAACAGTGTAATAAAACAAAAAATCTTATTGTGACATTTAAGACTAAATCTGATTTTACAAAGGCAAATGAAAGATATTTCTAAAATCCTTACTACTTTGGAATGATGTGTTTCTAAAATAAGAATCTTGCCACTGATTGCATATATACAGTTGAGAAAGACTTAAGTGTTTACTTCAAAAACTTGTCTAAATCCCCTTTTTCTTCTCCTCACTCTTTCCTTTGAAAATAATATAGGGGAACAAGACTATACTTAATATGTAAAGTTGTTCAATATAAAATATTGAATGTTATGAACAAATAAAAGTCAGCATTAGTATAGTATATTGTTTGACATTTCATTGAAAACAATGAATTAATTAAATGTGGCATAGGTCAAATACAGTAACTTATGCTCAGACTTATGCTGAAAGCAAGGTATAAATATCCTGTAAACTTCAAAAGGTGAGACGTCTAGTGTAGTCTTCCAAACAAGAACAGTTATTTTGCAGTGAACATCTTTGATGTTGATCTTTTGATTTGTAAGTGCAGTTTACAAAAGAAGCTTCAAGCAGTGCACACTTATTTAAGAAAGTAAATGTAAAATCTTGTCAGCACAGAAATAAATCACAGAACAGATGAGATTCTAATTCTGGTTTTTGTCATTAAAGACATCAGCATGCCATACATTCATGAGAAGAAACAAAAGAAAACTCCCAAATAAAAATGGCAGCTTCAGGTATATTTAACAAAAGTTCTAGATGTCTTGACACAGGTATTTTCCTTCTTAGAACGTAAGAACTATGTTGTAGAAAATGTACCTATGGAACCAATACAATTTTGAACAGAGTGGCAGGGGTTGACAAAATTCTGAAATAAACATTTTGGTGTCTTCTTCAACTTCGTATAATGATTCTGCATAATGAACTTGATTCTACTCCTGAGATCAACAATTCTATAAGCAGAATGAAGCACATCTCTGGAGACGTTCAGCGCTTTATCAGGCTTCATATACATGATTACAAATTTTACTAGCATCAGGAAAGCTGCTCTTCATCCTCTGACAAATAACTTTGACTGTTAATCCCAGCCCAGAGTATCAACTATATTCTCTGCTTGGACTTAAAACTTTTTTATTGAGTGCCATTAATGGGTTTAAATAGAATTTAAACTCCAATGCAGCTGATAAAACTGAATCTTTCTGCTGCAGAACACAAATTCTGAATCCTGCACTGATGTGATCATCTTGTCCTTCTATTAACAACACACTCAGACCTTTCCAGTGCCATTATCAAGAACCCAGCAAGAAGAGAACTTTTCTTTGAAAGAAAGGTCCATGTGCCTTTCTATAGCAAGATCCCAGCTTTCACAAAAGCAGCAGATGACAACTGCCCACTGAAGAAAATGATGCAACATTCTGTGGTGGTTCCAGGAGTACAGTCCTCCAGGCTAGAGCTAGAGACAGGCAACTTCCCTGACTTACTAATATTCACAGGATTTGAAAAACTTCCCATTCAGCAACTTCAGGCTCTAACCCCAGGCTCGCACAGCCGGTCTTTGGCAAGGCCCTGGCCATGGTGCTCTCCTTCGGATATCCTAACTTTTCCAAAGGGATTGTGATTCCCTTGACAGTTTCTGCATAAAGTTTCAAGTGGTAAGTTAAACCATGGGGACGTCTTGTCACAGTCCCTTCTCTCAGGCATGGCTTTTGGGGACATCCACCTGAGGAGGTCTGACCCACGGCTCTGCTGAGGAGGCTTCCCACCGCTCAAGGGCCTCGTGTGACCGAACAAACAAGTGTTTTATGACAGCCGCCTATCACCAACCTTCGTACGAAGGAATTGTATCAAGAATAAATAATAATTACCTATAGTAAGCAGTGACGGGCAATTATTTCATTATAAACGGAACTACACTATTTTCCGTGGATGCAAAGGGCATCAGATTCAAGTGAAAAACAACGCCCCAAGCGCTCCTGCTTCTTTTTCTTTACTGTCCAGAAAGTTAACTTTCCGAGCAAAGCGGAGGCAACCAGCCCCGCGCTGGCTTCGCAGCGGGCACGTCTTACCCTGAGGACCGCATGCCCGTGGTACCCCCGCCGGGCCCTTCCCCTTCTCCCGTCAGCGCCCCACGCCGCTCGGCGCCGGCTCGCCTCAGGTGGCCGCGGCCGGAGCCGCGCCGCCGCACCCTCAACTTCGCGATCCCCGCGCCCCTGTTTCAAACGCCCCGCGGCGTCGAGCAGGCCGCTGGAGGGGCGGAGAGGAGAGAGGGGGGCGGCCGCCCCACACGCCCGCCTGCAGCCGGGTCAGACCGTGCCCGTGCCGCTGCCTCTTCCCGTCCAGGAGGAGGCGGAGGGCAGACCCACTTACCGCGCCGGTGCCCCGCTGTGGGGTCTCGCCTCCGGAGCGGCGGGGCGGTTCGACCCGGCTGCTGCGATCGCGGCGGCGGCGAGTCAAGGCGGCGCTGGGCTCATCGCAGGTACTTCCCGTCGCTCTCAGGCGCGGTGGGTGTGGAAACCAGTTACAACATGTCAGGACGGTGTCGCACCAAACCCGCCGCCGCTGGAGCGGGGCAAGGGCTTGTCTGAACTGGGGAAGCCCGGCCCTCGCGCGGAGCGAAGGGCAGCGCCTTCCCAGCGCCGCGGCGCGGCCCCCCGCCCCATTCCACCCCACCCCATCCCATCCCGGCCCATCCCTGCCCTCCGGGCCGGACGCAGGCGCCCGCGGTCCCGCGGGGCAGGGACTGTCCCTGGCCGGCAACACGGGTAGCCCCGGAGGGGCCCTGGGAGCGCGGTGCTTGTGTGCGTGGGGGATAAAGCTGAAACAAACGTTGGCTTGGATTACAATATAAACCCGTCAGCCTGGAGTCACGGTTTCCAGGTTAACTCCCTGGGAGCAAGTCACGGCAAGGGAGCGGTGCACGTTTGAGACCTTTAAATCGGGTTATGTGGGTGAGCCCCCTTTCCACAGCTCAGTTACTTTAAAATTATCTTTTGCTCGTTTTTTCTCAAGTTGGAGAAACGAACCTGAAGGCAGAACCCCCCCATCCAGGCTGCAGTGCCAGCATCATCTTCCTCAGCTGCCCAAAGGCTGGAGATGCCAATTTGGCAATCCTATGTTGGGAAACCCTTGAGAGCTTTTCTGAAGGCGCTTCCAGAACACAGTCATCTTTGTAGTAGGATCATGCAACTGCCAATGCATCAGTATGTCACATATATGCATGATTTAAGCACACCGAGGTGTAAGAACACGAGTTTTCTTTGTCATTTTAAATTAATGGCAACAGATGGAAACTTTTTATAGGTTTTGCCCATAACCTGTAGTGTTTTGTCACCCTGTAGTGAATAACTGCAGGCAGCTTTTTCACGAGCCATTTAAGACAGTGCAGTGTAACCCTGACAATTACACTTTATTGGCAATAGTTTGTCTGGTCTGGGTTTAAGCACTAACTTTTTTTCTAACCTTTACTGCCGGATAGCAAGTGCAGGTTATATCCTATTCTGAAGGTAATAATGTTCTACTGTGACTTTTTGAAGAGGATTCTTTGAGGGAAAAGAAAAAAAAGTAATATCTATACAACAATATATAAATGTATAAATCTTGTAGCCACCAGGCAACACTTTTTCTGTACAGTTAATTCAGGTAGTGTAGTGCAAAAGAAGAAATAGTTGATGTCAGTATACTCATGGACTACTCTCTGCAGACCTAAGATCTCCTGGTTTATATGGTTAGAATCTTCTCACACCCAAAAAAGAATTTCCCTGGGTTTGATGAACCATGAAGAGGAAAAACTGCTGTAAAAACAAACACACTGTAAAAGTTTACTTAGTATTTTATAGTGAGTTAGAACGCAGCACTTTTTATTCCGTAAAATGTGTGGTCCGAAAGGAGAATGTGTTTCTGTGGAAACTTGTCCATCAAGAGGTGGGGCCATGTAAATTTTTAGAAGAACAGATCTATTTTCTATAATTATTTTTGAAAGGGTAGGAAGGCAGATGGATGGTCACAAAAGCACTTTTAGCCTTGACTGAATCAGTTGGACTTTCATTACATAAAATTTACAAGTACTACTGGGTCTTTCTTTTAGAGAAATCCGTGGTTGAGTACCAGCTTAGCACAAACAAAAAGGTATAATGAGATCAGTTACAGCTGTCTAAATAAGGAAATCTTCATGGAAAAGGGACCTAGAGTTTTCTTTCTGCATTAGTATCTGTACAATAAGTTGTTTGATCTGTGCCTTTACAGGGCTCAGCTCAGTGGGAAACCAATCAAATACTGAGATCTTCAGCAACACACATGCACACATGCAATACAAATGAACAATACAGTATAAAACACTGACAATCATATTGGTAGTAATAAGGCACTATTATTGCTGTTGTTACTGAAGAGAAAAATGCACTCTCTAAATAGCCAGTACACCATACCAACTTTAAAATTAATAGGTAAACAGAACGATGAGAAGAGATGTAGAAAACTTAAACAGATCTTTTTAAATACTGAGAAAGCCCTTGCATAAAATATATAAAGAGGAGATGGCAAATGATGCTGGAGATTCTTCCACACAGTTGGGGGTTGCCTGAGTTTATCAACTGAAGCCCTCCAGTAGCTATACCAGACCAGACATTTCATAAAACCTAGCTTGGATAACATGTTTTGGAAACCAGCTACCCGCAGCCATCTGTCAAAATAAAGTACATTTTTATTCAGCAGGTAATAAACTTCCAGGTCATAAACTTCCAGATCTTACAGCCACAAGAGGCAATGGAGGCAGATGGTATGAGCAAGCTCAACAAGCTGTAAAACAAATTCTTAAACAATACATATAAAACTGGATTATAAAAGGATGAGGCAGGGATATACCGTTTAGTATCCTTACTCCTAGAGTTGTGGAGCTGCAGCAGTTTGAGGGGAATGGACTGCAGAAACTGGCCAGGCTCTCATTTGCTTAAACAGCCCTTCCTTTTGCCGTTGGAAATGTAACACTGGGCAAGCCCAGTTGAAGCATCATAAAGATTGGAATAGTTTTATTGGAATCCCACCAATTCGTGAAGCCTCAAAACTACAGAAGAGGAAAAAAAAAGAAAAGGTTATTCTAGACCCAGCTTGTTCATGGGAAAAAAATAATTAACTCCGTATGTTTGATACTACCATGTTGAGAATGTAATCAGGAAGAAAAATTATTGTCTTAAGTGACCTGAGTACTCAGATTATGGTGCTGTTGGATTGTCATCTCTGACTTCTATCAGCTCCCATTTGTCAGTTCTGAGACTTTTTAGTATTGACTTTGACATTTGCCATGTACAGGTCTAGCAGAATGCAAGCAGAACACAAAAGATTGTTATCACATATACGGTGACACTAGTCAGAAAACATAGAATCATAGAATAGTTAGGGTTGGAAAGGACCTTAAGATCATCTAATTCCAACTCCCCCCACAATGGGTAGGGACACCTCACACGAAACCAAGGCACCCAAGCCTTCATCCAATCTGGCCTTGACCACTGCCAGGGATGGAGCATTCACAACCTCCCTGGGCAGCCCATTCCAGTGCCTCAGCACCCTAACAGGAAAGAATTTTCTCCTTATATCCAATCTAAACTTCCCCTGTTTAAGTATTAACCTGTTACCCCTTGTCCTATCACTACAGTCCCTAATGAAGAGTCCCTCTCCAGCATCCTTATAGGCCCCCTTCAGATACTGGAAGGCTGCTATGATGTCTCCACACAGCCTTCTCTTCTCCAGCCTGAACAGCCCCAACTTTCTCAGCTTGTCTTCATACAGGAGGTGCTCCAGTCCCCTGATCATCCTCGTAGCCCTTCTCTGGACTTGTTCCAACATTTCCATGTCTTTTTTTATGTTGAGGACACCAGAACTGCACACAATACTCCAGGTGAGGCCCCACGAGAGGAGAGTAGAGGGGCAGGATCACCTCCTTCGACCTGCTGGTCATGCTCCTTTTGGTGCAGCCCAGGATGCGGTTGGCTTTCTGGGCTGCAAGGGCACACTGCTGGCTCATGTTCCTTTTCTCGTCGACCAGCACCCCCAAGTCCTTCTCCACAGGGCTGCTCTGAATCTCTTCTCTGCCCAACCTGTAGCTGTGCCTGGGATTGCTCTGATCCAGGTGTAGGACCTTGCACTTGACATGGTTAAACTTCATGAGGTTGGCATCAGCCCACCTCACAAGTGTGTTGAGGTCCCTCTGGATGGCATTCCTTCCCTCCAGTGTATCAACCAAACCACACAGCTTGGTGTCATCAGCAAACTTGCTGAGGGCGCACTCAATCCCACTGTCCATGTCAGCAATGAAGATGTTGAACGTGACCGGTCCCAACACCAATCCCTGAGGGACACCACTCGTTACTGGTCTCCAGCTGGATATTGAGCCATTGACCACAACTCTTTGTGTGCGGCCATCCAGCCAGTTCTTTATCCAGCGAGTGGTCCATCCATCAAATTGATGTTTCTCCAATTTAGAGACAAGGATGTCGTGAGGGACAGTGTCGAGCGCTTTGCACAAGTTCAGGTAGATGACATCAACTGCTCTACCCCTGTCCATCAGTTCTGTAGCCCCATCATAGAAGGCCACCAAATTGGTCAGGCAGGATTTCCCCTTAGTGAAGCCATGCTGGCTGTCACCAAACGCCTTGTTGTTTTTCATGTGCCTTAGCATGCCTTCCAGGAGAATCTGCTCCAAGATTTTGCCAGGCACAGAGGTGAGACTGCCTGGTCTGTAATTCCCCGGGTCATCCATTTTCCCCTTCCTGAAAATGGGGGTTATATTTCCTTTTTTCCAGGTGATGTTGGGGACTTCACCTGACTGCCATGATTTTTCAAATATGATGGCCAGTGGCTTAGCAACTTCATTTGGCAGCTCCTTCAGGACCCGCGGATGGATCTCATCAGGTCCCATGGACTTGTGCACGTTCAGGTTTTTAAGATGGTCTTGAACCAGATCCTCTCCTACAGTGGGCCCAAGGTCTTCATTTTCAGTCCCTGCATCTGCCTTCCAAGACTTGGGTGGTGCAGTCAGTGCCTTTGCCAGAGAGGGCCGAGGCAAAGAAGTCATTCAGAACCTCGGCCTTTTCTAAATCCTGTGTAGGCAGTTCTCCTGAGAGCTTCCTGAGGGGGCCTACCTTCTCCCTAGTCTGTTTTTTATTCGCGACGAACCTATAGAATCCGTTCCTGTTTTCCTTAGCATCCCTAGCCAAGTTTAATTCTAACTGGGCCTTAGCTTTCCTAACCTGGTCCCTAGCTTCCCGGACAACATCCCTGTACTCTTCCCATGCCACCTGTTCTTGCTTCCACTTATTATAAGCCTCTTTTTTCATTTGAATTTTCCTCAGCAGCTCCTTATCCATCCAAGGAGGTCTCCTGGCCCTCCTGCTGCACTTCCTTCTAGTTGGGATGCAACACTCCTGAGCTTGTAGCAGGTGATCCTTGAATATAAACCAACATCCTTGGGCCCCCTGCCCTCTAGGGCTGTATCCCATGGAACCTTCCGAAGTAGGTTCCTGAAGAGGCCAAAGTCTGCTCTTTTGAAGTCCAGGGCAGTGAGCTTGCTGCACGCTCTTCTCACTATCCTTAGGATCTCAAATTCAAGCATCTCGTGATCACTGCATCCAAGGCTGCCCTGGAGAGTCACATTTCCAATGAGCCCTTCCCTGTTG